CAAACAACCTTTAAGTGGCCTCCTGCAAGCCTCCAAGTATCATTATACAAACAAAACAGGGATTCTGTCAAAAAATGTGTTGTGAAAGAGGCACAAATGCACAAAGCCATGTTCATACATTAAGTCATCACTTGTGCAAATGAGTTTTACATGCTAGCAGAGGAACAAAACAAATATTTAAAAACAGAGAGGCAATAGAGAAGAAAAAGGATATGGCAGAGTTGTATTTATTTGTTTCCAACCCTGAAAACTCTTTTATCCTAGTTACCTGTGGGTTTTCTTTCTAGACCTGATAATAAAAGGGCATGCAAGGAGATGCCAGTATAAATGCTAATGAGATAAATGGCAGATATTTCCTTAACCCTAACACGTCTTCATAGTTTTGGTGTTACTGGACACTAACAGTAGGCAAAAGGAACATTATAGGACTGCCACAAAAAATGGTGGTTGATGATTTTCCTCACCTTTAAGGCATGAATGGAGTTTTTGTTTCATTGCTCTACTTCTAGCTGGAATAGCAACATGCTGGTACCTCAGCATTAGAACTCCTAAGAACCCAGAAATGCCAGGTCAGCATTCCCCATTTTGAGATAATATTCCTGGTGGTTTTAAGGTAGTTGTTTTCCCTATGTTTGCGGGAAAAGGGATGAAATAAGAAGCATCTAAGAATGTGTAACTTTTTCTAAAGACTTACTGCCAAAGAATCAGCTTATTTAACTCTTTCCTTTTGTGACTGACAAAGAATCTCTCATTCAGTGTATTCCTGGTAGGATATTTTAGATATTTTTTTTCTTTCCAGTTCAGTGGCAAAAACAGATCAATGCAGCATTTCTGAAATGATTTCTGAATGTGAAGGTCAGATTTTTAATACTGAGCAGCAGCACGGCTGTTAGCATTACATCACAGGAACTGCAGCCAACAGGAACAAATGTGCCCCTGTTTCCCGTCTCTCTCGTCCCAATCCGTTTCAGTCTCTGGTTGGAAAAGCAAGCCAACATTTCAAACTGTGCAAGTCTGATGCTACCCTTCAGCCGACCAGGAGAGGAGGCTCTGACACTGAGCAATGGGCTTCGTCCCTCGAGAAGGGATTGTTGTGATCCTGCTGCAATCCCTTACCACGAGGGGAAAACTGCATTTTAATTTCCCAGTGTAATGTCAATGAATGAGCTTAAAACTGATAAATGTAGAGGAGTCTCAAACATTTGGGAATAGAAGGAAGCTATGAATCAGCTCAATTTCCATTCTGAAATAGAATTATTCTTTTCTTTATAAATATTCAATTTCTATGAAAGGCAAATGCTCCTTCTGATGTATCAGAGAAGTGAGAAACAAATTTCTATTGGAAGACACAAAAACACTTTTTCAGGTCCTCTTCCTTTCATAGCCCCTGTTCTATTTATCTATTGCTACAACCATACAGTCTCTATTAATCTTTTGCACTTCTGGAAGAGCAATTTTTATGCTACACTAATGAATCTGACCTCCCAACATGACCAAGCAGCAGCTGTTGGTTTGAACTTCTTCCAGAAAGAAGGAAATGGAGGCACCATTTAACTGACTCTGCTCAAAGACATCCAACAAACAGCTTTTGGCTCAGCCAGGTCTTCCATCTTACGCTTTGTTTTAAAAGCCATCTCTTCATCTGTTTCCTCTTAGCCACACACAGGTTCCCGAATTTGGCAGGAAACACATAAGGATCACAAGATCCTCACTGCATCTCTGACATAAGTGTGTTCAGTACTGTTTCATAAACAAGACAACACAGTCATATTATTAAAATTAAACAGCTGTCTTAATATCTTTATGCAAAGGGACACATGTTAAAGCTATGCTTAGTTTTAAAGCTTCAACTCGATCATTATAAACTGCACTGAGCTGAATTTTCACCTTTGCTTTGCACCCACAAAAAGCTGTAGGAACTCACTGACTTATGATGGCTTAATTTCAGTCCTTGGACTCATGCTTACTCTTTTTGTTATTTGAATACTTTCAGCAACAGTTATGCTCTCTTCCAGCTATGCTACACCTGTGCAAAAGACTTGACGAAACCTTTTTGCTAGATCAAAAAGATTTTACTAAATTAAATGAAAGTGAAGTTGCAAATCAGTGAAAATTTTATTTCCAATATTTCTTAGTCCTGCATCTCTGTTGACACCATACTTATGGTTGCATAACCTATAGCATTCATAACATAGATCAACTCAATAAAGTAAGGAGAGAATTATGTTACTTGTAGAGCATTGAAAAGTTTCTATCATGAACTCTAGGGTTTTTATAACTTCCTTACATCTTTGTAATACAGTCTATGCTTGTTTTTCTAAAACACAAAAACACCATGACCATAACAGTCAAAGAAACACATGCTTGAAAATTAGTGGAAGCTGCAACCGAATCTCCAATAATGTACAAGACAACTGATGATTTAAACTAGACACTGAATTTACACATGCAAATTTCTTAGCTAATATTATCATGGCTTAACCTTGTCTCAGAGAAAGATGAGAAACTTCTCTCAATGTTTGAGGACAAGACTGTCCTAACTGTCTTGTAAGGTGGTTTTTTGCTGGTTTTTGAAATGCAATCAAATTAATTTCATGTGAAGCATCAGAACCTAAACACTGTCAAGCACTGATGTGGAGGTGAGAGCTTCTGCCTATGTGTCATGGAATTCTTCATGTCTACAGAGATACAGTAACTAGAAATAATAAAGACACAAGTGAAAAAACCTTGATTTTTAAAGTATATTTACTGTAAAATACTTTACAGCAACATCCCCATACCTCTTTGTATCAGTAAAAACACTTGATTCTGGATTTTGAGACTTCTCCAATGGTTCAAAGCCTTCACATTCCCTTCCAAACCAGTCTTAGAAAAGAGTTTTTTTTCAGTTAAAAATTACTGCTGTCTGCAAGTGTATACAGGTCACACAAACATCACTCCTCTTGACATGCAAAGGGCCCTCCACTCCAGCACTTTACTGCTTCCTCTTCTCCCTGGCCAAAGACCCTACACCTAAGATGACCTTTCTGAATACTGCTAGATACCTTTTTCCCCACCATACCTTCTCTAAGATGCTACCCCTTTACTCTAGAAAGGTTCCCATAAATCTCTTTTCCAGCTGCAAGTTCTGCCTGTAGCCTGTTCAGGATAGGCTGCCTCCAACAGCTCCTAGGAACCTTTCCTAAGCACCAATACACAGAATGCTCAAGGGAGAGACAAAATGCTCCTGAAAATGGGTTGAGTCCTTTGATTCTCATCTCTCTCTGAAGGGTTAAAATAAAAAAATGTATAGTGACTTCACAGCCTTCATACCAAAGGCATTTTTAGGACCTTTAAAAAAACAAACCTACAGTTCATGGAGTTAACTTTTCTATAGGATAGATTAAGGAGGAAAGGTGTTTTGTGTGGTAAATAGCTTTGAATACCTATGGCAGTAATTTTATGATTGACACTCACTAGCGAAAAAATACACTTAATACTTAGCCATGAAAATGTAATGTATAAAGGTTTTTATGTGCCTATGGTGGAAACAGGCATGTTTGTCATACCTGCACTGGTGCTACTGAGGGTCCCAAAACAGAGCTGTCAGTCTTGAGCTGGTGAAAACTAAAGAGACATGTCTGCTTGCTGTCTTGAAAACTAACAGCATTCTGTGTAGTTCTTGAGGGAAAACAAGTACTCTCTTCCCCTTCCTGTCCCTATAACTGCTGATGCAGTACAACACCAGCGTAACTAAAAGAAAGATCCATCATTTTTGTTCTAGGAATTTCAAAGTACTGTTCGGTGACTCTTCCAATAACTTTCTCTGAGATAACTTCTATAAAACCATGATACAAGCAGAAACAACTCTGAGCAAGATAAATTCTTAATTTCATTTTCTGTTCCCAAAAAGTTTAAAAGATCTGGAGCAAAATAACATTATTTCTGTCTCAACTAATAAATGGCCAGACAGATTCATTTCATAATTGACAAAATAAAATGGAATCAAATTATTCTCTCTAAGTATGCTCTTTTCTGTTAGCTTGAGCAAATATGCAGTGGTTAGAGGGATGACGTTTCCTTCCGAGTTCTGAATTTGTAAAGCTTAGCATTTCTAAAAATTACTTAAGATTGATCTGTGGAAGTCAGAAATGCCCAAAACAGTAGGATATCACCTTATTCCCCACATATTTTGATCTTCAGTGTTTCTTATTTATACTACATGCTAGGGATGAAACTGGCACTATCAGAGGGGGTAAATTTGCAGAAATAGAGTTTTTACCTCCTCTACATTTGTCTAATTAAATGTGCCAGCAACACAAAGGTCCTATCCAGTGCTTGAGTCTAAGGATATATATCATCTTTCAGGTATCCTTGCTCCTTAGTGTCTCCAAAGATACAGATGAGTTGCCAGGTACAGTCAATGAATGCTGTTTATTCTAATATGAACATTTATTTTATGGAAGATGACAAGATTTGGCAACAGAAACCAAGTCATCCATTTCCTCTGCCATTTGCTGTTATTCATTACATTGATTTATACTCTTTTCTTCTTTTTATTCTCATGTCTTTTGAATAATGTAACAAGAATGTAGTATGATGCAAGAGTTCAAATGCCCTAATGTGCTCTTTCCAAATCAGTCTTTTCAGTTGTAGTCAGGATTTGGATACACTGAGGCACCATCTATTGGTTTTTCCCCAAGAATCTACAAAAGCAAATGTATATTTTGAGAAGCTTTGAAGCCTCTCGCAGCCCAGATAAAACCAACTGCTCAGAATTTGTCAAACCAGATTGCATCAGAGGACAGCTGGATGCTTTGGTTCTGCTAATCAGAAATGAGCAAAATATGGATCACTAATACACTGCATTGTGGCAGTTTTGCTACCTGTGCATTCATTCAATGTTTACTTATGTGGGGTTGGCAAAAGCTATTTCCTGTAGTAGGTATTTACCCTCTACACCTTCACCATGGTAGATAAAAATGGTATTAACTTCGGCTGAGGAGAAATGTGTCACATACCTTCTGGTGGGGAATTACAACCCTGGGAGAGTCAATTCTGGGAGCTGTGGCTGAAACCGGCGCTGGACGTTTAGATCTAGGGACCCAAAAAAAAATTGAATTAAAAAATAAAATTAGTAATCTGGAATCCCATTTTTCATTTCTAATTTAATGCAAAAATACTGCTTTATCAGCATCAGTCTAAACATAGGCTAGACTTTTTCTCATAATCATCATGCTTTTTCTACATCCTCATGTACAAAGGACTTAAATGTGAGGAAAAAAAGCATAATAGAGCTTCTATGAATGATGAAAAGTCACCAGTTACAGAAGCAGCCTCTGACTCGGGAGATCATCCATTTTTCCGCACCTTGTGACAAACTGCATTTTCACAGATAGATGGAAAACAGCCACAACTAGATAAATCCAGGTTTGGGGAGCACTCTGGGAAAAGGGACTTAGAAGTGACTGAAAATACAGAGATGAAATTTCGGTACCGAGACATCTCAAGATCAGCTCCTCAAAAGATTATAATTTAATTGCTTAAACTTTATAGCAACTGCCATAATTTAAACTTCTCTACAGGAAGAAACATGGGCTTAATTTCAGCTAATGTGGCTTCACAAGATCACTACTGAATTAACCACACTGCACTCCAAATGCCTGCTTTTCACCTCTGTTTTTCAAATATATGTACACAATAATTCTGAAAAACAAAAATAATGCTACTGAAATGCTTTGAAAACACAACTTGCCCTTCCACTGGAATATCACAAAAAAAGTGCAGTGACAGATGTTAAATGATAGATGCTGAGCTAAGTGAAGATGTATTTGTGGAAGGCATGAGAACCTGTATAGCACTGAACACCCCCCTGAAATCTTTCCAGAACACACGGGATCACTGGAGAAAAAGAAATGAAAAAAGTAAAAATAAAAAGAATCAGAATGATACAAGTAATTTCCTATTGCCAACCTACAGATAAGGATTATGCCTGAAATTCTCATCTTTAAAAAGTACTTTTCTAAATTAGGGCAGGTACAAAAATGAAATTAAAATATTTAAAACCATACATATCAAGCAGAAGTAACAGACATTCAGAATTGTTTGCTTTAGAGAGGAGATGAATAAAGGAAGGCATTACAGAGGCTTAGAAAATAATAAATGGTAGAAAAAGGGAAATAAAGCTATGCTCCTGGGCATTAAGTGAAACTGAAAAGACAACACACATAAATTGATAAAGGCAAACATTTTTTCCTAGAGTACTTGATTAACCTGAAGTGAAAGTCACTGTTACAAGACATCATTGAGACTATGAGAATAGCAGGATAACAGAAAGAAAGGATTTTATATTTATATTTACAACAAAAATCCCAGCAATTGCTTTAGATTGGGTAAAAATAAGTAGCCATACAGATTCTAATTCTTATGGCACAACTTAGAAGTGGAAGACCACCTGTGTTAGGTTCATTATTTCCTTACTGAGGATTGTGTTGCACTTGCCTCTGAAATGCTTACCACTGGCATCTATCAGAGACAGAAAGCTGAGCCAGACAAAAACTGGGCTCATCCATAGTGGCAACCCCTGCACTTATACCTAGCTTCACACTGAGCTGTGTATTTAGCTTTAGATGCCACATCAAATATACTTCCATAAG